TGCCTGTCCAGGCCCCGCCCCTGATGACCCCTCAGTCCACTCTCCTGCACCAGCCCCCTCCCCTAGGACACAGCCCCGCCCCACCTTACCACGCCCTCAGGGTCCACTAGCAGCAGATGCTTGGGCTGCCCCAGGTGCATGCCGGTCAGCACGTACTGCCCTGGATTGGTGACACTGTCGCGGACGAGGAAGTCGCCATCCGCTCGAAGCAGCCTCTCGGCCGCCCGGCGGCTCATGCGGCCGTGGTACCAAGGCTCCTGGCGCAGCCGCTCCTCTGTGGGGGCGATGGGCGCTCGGCGGGTGGGGGGACTGGGCCACTGGTCCTCCACAGGCGGGGCAGCCGCAGCAACAGGACACCCGTGGAGCTTCAGGGCATCCTCGAAGGGTCCTGCAGGGCCAGGGCAGAGGGCAGGACGCTGAGTGAGGACAAGGCTGGTGGAGGGGGCAGGGGCGGGGGCGAGGGGCAGGAAGGCCTGGAGCGGGGGCTGGTGCCGCAACCCTTGACTTTTCCCTACATCGCGCTCAGGATTCAGGACTGGTCCCTCCTGACCCCAAAACGACATGAAGTTTCACCATCCTCGCCTCTTCGGAGCACCTGGGTTGTGTTTCCTCCACCGCAGATCTATTTGTTCTTTTGGCAGTCCATGGGTTAGTCAACACCACAACTCAAAGGCATCCATTTCATTTTTTCCTTTTTTTGGGCTTCCGTATTCATTGTCCAGCTTTTGCATACATACGGAATTACCAAAATACCGTGACTTAGGTGAGTTGTACGTTAGACTTTACGCTGATATCCTTGCTCTCAGGCACTTTAAAGAGGTTGTTGACAGCAGATTGTCACAGGGCTGTTGTTGTTGTTGTGAGCCATCAAGTCACCTGCAACTCATAGCGACACTATGTACAACAGCTCTAAACCCTGCCCTGTCTTCAGTCAGTCTCACTGACTCCAACACACCTACCCCCATTCCCCAGTAACTGTATCAATCCATCTTATCTGGAATCTTCCTCTCCTGCTCTGTCCCTCTACCCTTCCAAGTATGATGTTCTTCTCCAAGAACTGGTCACTCTTGGCCGCATGTCCAAAGTATATGAGATGAGCTTCAAAATCCTAGCCCCCAAGGAGAAACGTGGTTTCATCCTCTCCAAGGCAGATGTTTGTTTTCTTGGTGGTCCATGGTATGATCAAGATTCTTCTCCAGCACCACAGCTCAAAGGCATCGATTCTTCGATTCTTCTTCTGTCATCCTTAGTCATTGTCCAGCTCTCTGATGCAGAGCAAGTAATTGCAAAGACTGTGGCCTGGATCAGGCACACCTTAGTCTCTAGACTTACATCATTGCTTCTCCGTACTCTAGAGAGGTCCTTGACAGCAGATGTTCATCTTTTGACAGCAATTCATCTTTTGATTTCCTGACTGCTGGTGCCAAGACTGTTGATTGTGGAGTTGAGTAAGTTGAATTATTAACAATTTCAATGTCTCGTCTGTCACGGTGCTGCCAGTTGGCCCAGTGGTGAAAATCTTTGTCTTCTTGATGTTGAGCTTCAAATCCATATTGAAATCCATACTGAAGACCTTCTGCAGCAAGTGTTTCAGGTCCTCTTCAGTTTTAGCAAGCAAGGTTGTGTCATCTGCATAATGTAAGTTGTGGATGACTCTTCCTCCAATCTTGATGCCACACTCCTCCTCATAAAACCCAGCCTCCCTAATGATCTGTTCTGCATTCAGATTGAAAAGGTATGGAGACAGGACACATCCCTAACACACTCCTTTCCTGATTTTGAACCATGCAGTGTTTCCTTGCTCTGTTCTGAGGACTGCTTCCTGGTCTGAGTTTAGGTTTCACATAAGCACAATCAAGTTCTGGGATTTTTATTCTCCTCAAGTTTAGTCACCACGGCATATACATAATTTGAATTCTTGACTGCTATCTCCATGGGCATTAATATTGTGTCGACATTATTAACCTGGATAAATGTCCTGTTAATATTAGCTTATGTGGCAGAAGGAAGAATTGTGTCTGGTGGTGGACAGGTAGGAATGTCTTGAAGGAGGAGGGTGACCATCTGGGTCACCGTGAGCCTCACAGGCACAGCAGGAGAGGAGAGGCTTTGCAGGAAGTGAAGAAAGCGTTGTAGACACTTCAAAGGGGGAAGGAGAGAGGCCTCCCTCAGGCTGGCGCCTCCAACAGGGAAAGCAGTAATGGGCCGACCATCAGACTAGGCCTTCCCCATTGGACCAGGGTTCTCTCTGGGAGCACAGTCATCTCCCTCAGATTGGGAGTCCTGTGAGACACAGGCTCCCCCTTCAGAACAGGTCTCCCCTGCCAGACTCACCACTCTATCAGCAGAGTCCAGCTCACATGAGACTGGGCCTCTCCCCTGACAGGCGGCATCCCAAAGGGCCCACGTGGCTGTGATTCCCCACCAGACCTCATGGAAGCGCCTCCTCTGTCACATGAGCCACTCTTCCTACTAAGGCTGGCCTCCCACTCCCACTAACTTCCCTTCCCTCTGCTGAACTCCAGTGCTAGCCTTCCTCCCTATCTGACCTCCTCATCCAACTAACCTCCATCTGATGTTGCTCCTCCATTTGACCTCCATCTGACCTTCCCTCCCTTCTGACCTCGTCCTCCATCTGACCTCCTTCTTCATCTGACCTCCCTTCTGACTTCCCCTTCCTTCTGATTTCTTTCTTCATCTGACCTCCCTCCCCCATCTGACCTCCCTCCCCCATCTGACCTCCTCTATCTGACCTCCCCTTCCTTCTGACCTCCCTCCTCCACCTGACCTCCTCCATCTGACCTCTCTTACCTTCTGGCCTCCTCCTCCATCTGACTTCCCCCTCCATCTGACCTCCCCCATCTGACCTTCCCCCATCTGACCTCCCCCCTGTACTGCCCTCCATGCACCACCCCTCCTCCACATACGCATGTCGAATAAGTCTCTCTGGGGGCTGTCCTCGGGCTGTAGGGGTGCCACCTCCTCCATCTCTGGGGCGTCCAGACCCTGTGTGTTGACGTACAGGTGGTCTTCATAGTCACGGGGGCCCCGGGCATCTGCCTGCACATAGCCATCCCCAGGCCGGGCTGTGGGCAGAAGGCAGTGTGTGGTCAGTTGGAGGGGCCTTAGGTGTGGGGCCAAGATGGAGTGGGTACCCCTGTGGATACTCCCCACATTTACCTCCCTGCCAGGGACTAGCCACTGGCCTCCCCAGGTCAGCCCAAAGGGACAAAATTTCCCTAAATGGCCACCAGGGTCATGAGGAGGTGAAGGGGATGAGGCGTTGAGGCCCCGGATCCTGGAGCCAACTGCCCTAGTTTTCACAAGCAGCCCGGAATCCAGGTTGAGGTCAGCTCTGCAGTCAGGACACAGCTCTCTTCTGCCACTGGCCGATCCCTTCTCCTTCTGTTTGAGCTGCTTTGGGGTTTGACTGTTTCTTTTCACATCTTAGTTGTGTGTCCTGAGCTTCATTCCTATGGTTCAAAGGTCAGATTCCCATCTAGGTAGAGGCTCAGGGGACCTCTGCACATCCTGGCCACTGGTCTCAGGAGAGCGGGCTCTGTCCCCTCAGCCTAGCCAGAGCCTCATCCTCCTCCCAGAGAAAGTGATGCCAAGTAAGAAAAGTGCATCCAGGGCTGAGTCTTCACTCCAAAGGTGCAAGCGGGTTTTGCCCTATCTACTCCCCTCAACTGTCCATTTCCCAGCTTCCCTCACAGAAGCCAGCACAGTGCACCCTTCCCACGTGCGATCACCCTCCTTGGAAGGACTACTTTATCCTGTGCTCAGAGTGGCTGGAGGATTCGAACCTCTCGGCTGAACATAATCCACTACAACACCAGGGCTTGTGACTTTACCGGTGCAAATCCCAGGTCCACCCTCATGGCATGGGCAAGCTGGCCAGCCTCCCTGTGCCTCAGTCTCTCTGTCTGTAAGACAGGCAGAGTGAGAGCAGGGCAGGAAGAAAAACCTTGGCCAGGCCCGCCTGAGCCGTCTCAAGAGTGCAGAGGGCTCTCTGCTCTGCCCCCGCTTTCCAGTGTGCCCCAGAAGGTGGATTTGCCCACCTGGGATGGTCAGGGCTGGGTGGAGTGGAGAGGAGAGGAGCTGCTGATGGGGTCAGGACTAGTGAGGAGGCTCCTGTGTGCTGGAGGGGCCACTGATGTGATGGCAGAAGCTCTTGGCAGAGAAATGAGAAGCAAATACGAAGGCACAGGAAGCCGAAACCCCACAAACCCTGGTATCCGAGAGTGCCTGCAGTCCAGAAGCAGGCCAGGCCAGGTTCCAGTGCTCCAGACTCCCTGTGCTCACTGAGCCAAATGTCCACGAGCTCCCACGGGTCTGACACTGACAGTATCCAGGGAGATGTAGGGGGCAGGCAGCACTGGTGGGCAAGCTAGATCGTGGGGGCCCACACACATGGTCTCACACTTGAGGGTGAGCTGCCATGAGAGAGCCAGCTAGTGGGCACAGGAGGTCGACAGTACCAGGAGAGTGAGGATATGTCAAATGGCTGTGGGTGGGGGGCAAGCGAGTGAGCACGCCACAAACCAGGCCAGTGAGTCTCCAAACTAGAAAGCTTCACTCAGGAGAAACCTTCACCCAGGAGACTTCCCATAGCTCACCCTCAAAACGGTGAGTGGATTTGAAACTCCAGCCTTTGGTTTTCAGCACATATGTAACAAACACAGCACAGAAAAGGAACCACAGAGTGCCAGGTGCCAGGCGGCGCGAGCATGGCCGGGACCTCGATTCCCTGCCACCCAGCCCTTCTTCGTCTACATTCTGCTGTGCGCTTTTCCAGCTCTCATCACTGATGGGCAGGACTGTGCGGGTACTGCATCGCCCTCCACGTCTGGGCCTTTCATGTGGCTCCGAGTCTTCCCCTCTGGAATGACACAGGGCTGTTCAGCCCGTACGTGCACTGCTTTCCCTTTGCCCTCGTAATCCAGGCTGCGATCCGGGTGCACATGATCGGGATACACATGCCACGGGGAGTTATGCTGCTGACCCAACAGTGGGGCCTCTTCAGCGGCTCGAATCCAACAGTGGCTCCATGGGAGAAAGACGGGTGATTTACAGCCTCAGAAGACCTGGACGTCAGTTCTGAGTTGGTCCCACCCTAGGGACAGTGAATCAAGTCTCTGCAGCTGCTGACCCTCCCGGCCCTGGAAACCATCAGCATTCTCTGCCTGCACACCTTTCTTTGATACAGGATCAGCTCTGCCTGCCACCAACCCTGCAGCAGGACAAGGCCCTGGGGTCCCTTCTGGTGCTGTAACGTTCCACAGCACTCCACGCTCAAGCAACCCAGTCTACACACAGACGACACTGGGCTTCAGGGATCTGCTTACACCCAGGACCATGGCTGCCCAGGCAAACCACGCAAGCTGGACGTGATCAGGAGGGCGTCCAGAGGAGGCAGTGCTGGTGGGGCTCTAATGTGTGCCTGAGTCCCCAGGGCCTGAGGGAGCCCTCCAGGAGTATGGGGGCCAAAAGGGGTTTGAACCTTCTCCGGCATCTGGTGGCCTCGTGGTTTAAGGAGCTGCCCAAAGGCACTCTGTGTGAAGTTACCAGCTGTTCTGCAGAACAAAGACAGGCAGTCTGCTCCAGGGCCAGTTACTGCCTCTGAAAACCCACTGGATGGACAGCTAGGAGTCAGTTCTGACTTGAAGGTCTACAACAACCAGGTGGTACAATAGTTAAGCATTCAACTGCTGGACGAAAGGTTGAAAGTTCAAACCCCAACAAACAAAAAAAAAAAAAAAAAGAAAGTTCAAACCCCCGGCAGTTCCATGAGAGAAAGGGCTCCGATCTGCTGCCATCAGGACCACATGCAGCCAAGGAAGCCCGCAGGCAGCTGTGTCGATGGTGGGGTAGGTGTGAATCCAGTCAGCTGGAGGGCACGCGGCTCACGTTACTGTTATAACACTGTGCATGGGTTGGCGGGGGCCGGGGGGCGGGGGGCGCTCAGGTTCTCGCGGCAGCTCCTAAGAGCGGCACAACGTGCAGTGAGAGTAGCCTGGGAAACCCCTTTCCTCTGCAGCTAAAACAAGCATGCGGTGCTATGGCTGGTACAGAGCTGTGATGTTAACTCACAGGTGACAGGTTCCTTTTTGGTTTTTCTGTTGTTGTTAAAATACAACCAGAAAGTGTGGTGGGTGGTCAGGGGTCTCCACAGTTTTCACCATCAACGCGTGGAAGTCACCCATGTACGCACAAGTGGGGCACACAAACCACCGCCAGTCCCGGCACAGCCCCATGCCCTTCATGGAACAGGACAGGCCCTGAGTAGGACGGGCCCCAGTAGCACAGCTCGGGGAGAGGACAGGGATATAAGCATAATTCCGCCCTGGCTGTGTGGGCCTGGGGAGAGAAGTCCTGCTTCAACTCAGCTTGAACATGCATGGAAAGTCCTGGAAAAGTGATCTACACAATGCTCAGCACAAGCTAGTAACCGGTCTCCAGAGGTGTGAAGTGAGTCAGTGGTTCTTCACGGAGGACCTGTTTGTACCCCAGGTTTGGAACCACAGGCATGCCTGACCATCTCTAAAAATGCAGATGTGGTGACCCTGCCGGGGACAGTGAAGGACACAGTGGGGAGAGGCAGCACCTGCCTGGCCCTGAGGCCATCTCACCTGTACCAGAGGGTCCCAGGTCCCACAGCAGCCCATGGGCATCCCGTTGAGCAGGTGGCACTCCCTGAAAAAGAGGAATGAGGCCCCTTGGGATGGACTCTTTGCCCCCAGCCCAGCTCCCCAGCCTCCCATGCTTCTCCTACATGTTTGGAAACAGAAACACAGATGGGAAGGCTGACTCTCGGCCTTTCCCTGGTTCTCTGGAGCTCACTGACTCCCTGGAGCTCCGAGTGACCACTGTCTGCCTTGGCACCCTCATCGATCTTCTCTCCACCCCAGAAGGCAGTCCATACCCTCCTGTCCATTTTCACCTGCTGTTCCCTCTGCCTGGAGGCCCCGCCCACCCTCCTTCAGAGCAACTTCTATTCCTCTAAGAGGATTTCTTCCCCAGGAAGCCTTCCTGACAACTCAACAAAGTCAAGTGTGTGGTCCCACTACCTGCAGTCTCATAACATTTGTAAGCCAACCATGAATCTAGTTATAGATTCATTATCTAGGTATGAGACTCATGTCTGAAAGGCTCAGGCTATCAAAAGTGTCTCATCTGGGATGGGATAAAACAGAGAACCAGTAACAATCAGCAGATGGATGGACGGAGAGATGGGTGGGTGGCCAGGTAGTTGTGCAAGTGTAGAGGTGGAGAGACAAGCAGGAGGGTGAGTAGGCGAATATACGATATATACAGGTGGTAAGTGAATAGAGGGTATAAGTCCGTATGTGTAGGTGGTGAATGAAGGGATGGATGGATGGATGGATGGATGGATGGACAGACAGATGGCGAATATACAGGTTAGTAGGTAGTTGGATGAATGGCTGGTGTATGTGTGTACATGTCGTGAATGGATGTATATATACAGGACAGTGGGTAGGTGTACAAATGGGTAATAGATGAGTAGATAGGTGGGTGGTTGGACACGTGGTGGCTGGAAACACGGGTGAGCGAGTAGTGCGCATATGAGCAGGTAGACGGTGCATAGATGGACAGGTAGGAGGGTGAGTGTGTAAAGTAGATGAATGAATGGACAGTGCACATATGTATAGTTGAGTGCTGGGTGGAGGCTGGTGGACAGATGGGTCATCGGGGGGATAGATGGAAGGTTGGTGGGTGAAGCGATGAACGGTTAGTCGATCAATGGCTGAAGGAGGAGACAGGAGAGTCAATGGATGGAAAGGGATGAAAGGACAGGTGTTTGGGTGAGTAGACAGATAGCTGGGCAGATGGGTGGCTGGGTAGCTGCTGTACAGATGGATGAATGAATGGATGGATGGATGGATGGGTAACAGATGGACATGTAGATGAATAAGTGGATGGATGGATGGATGGGTAACAGATAGATGGACATGTAGATGAATAAGTGGATGGATGGATGGATGGGTAACAGATAGATGGACATGTAGATGAATAAGTGGATGGATGGATGGATGGGTAACAGATAGATGGACATGTAGATGAATAAGTGGATGGATGGATGGATGGATGGCTGAACAGACAGATACATTGATGTATAGATGTGGATTAAGGGAAGGGTGATGGATGGATGGTGGATAGTGGAAAGATGAAAGGATGAATGGGTGGATAGGTGAATGTATGGATATATACATGAGTGGATATAAGGGTTGGTGATGAATGGGTGGAAAGATGGATATACGGATGGGCTGGTGAATGAGTGGGTAGGCAGATAGATGGGTGGGTGGGTGAACGGACGGACAGATGGATATTTCGGGATATGGATGGGTTGGTGAAAAAGTGAGTGAGTTAGACAGGTGGATATATGAATGGACAGGTGGATGTGCGAACATGCGGACAGATGGACGGATAGACGTGGGAAGCATGATCTTCCTCTGGAACTGAGGGAAATAAGAGGAGGTCAACCGCAGAGATGCCCCATTCCTCCACCCCCGTGAGAGTGGGAACTGACCTGGCCAAGGGCACTCAAGGCGCAGGGTTGTGACAGAGCCAACCGAGAGTCCACCAGCCCGCCGGGGGGAGGCTCCTTCCCTGGGATGCTATTGTAGTAATTGTGTTCTAAGGCCTCCTCATCACCCCAAGCTGAGTCCTCCAGCCCAGTCAGCCTGTAGGGGTACAGAGAGCAAGTCTGGGGTCCCAGGAAGGAGATTTGTCCACAGGGGCTGGAAGCACATCAAGGCTCCTGCGCTTGGAGCTCCTTGAGTGACACAAGCCAGGCCCAAGAGGTTTGAATCCTGCGCTTGGTCCAGAGCTCAACGGGAAACACTTGTCAAAGGGTTAGAGGTCACCTCTCACATCCACAGGACCACAGCCTTCTGGAAGCCAGCAAGCTGCAGTTCGTCTATTCTTAAATGATGAAGCATCTGACTATTTGAGGAAACTTAAAAGGCACCTATGCTGTCTATAAACCCAGCAATCAGCTTCTACTTATAAGATGTCACTGGCCCAGGACCATACTCTCATCTACAAGAATCTGAGGGGGAAAACGGGGTGCAGCTGAAGCAATGCACAGGGCAGGGTGTGGGGGACCCTGCAAGATGGTTCATACAGTAGGGAAGGTGGGGGTGCAGCTGGAGAGACATGTGGGGAGAGGGAGGACCCCATAACGTGGTTAATACAGCAGGTGAGGTGAGGGTGCTGCTGGAGCGCTGTGCGGGGAGAGGGAAGACCCTGTAACGCAGTTCATACAGCAGAGAGTGGGGGTGCTGCTGGAGCGCTGTGCGGGGAGAGGGAGAACTCAGTAAAGTGGTTCATACAGCAGGGAAGGTGAGGGTGCTGCTGGAGCGATGCATGGGGGGTGGAGGGGACCTAGGTGAGTGTAGACTCTGTGCATGCAAGTAAGCCCTGCCTGCTGCCGGGCTAGGCAAGCACTCACCTCTCAGGCGGCACGACCACCTTCGGAGGACTGTGTAGGTACTGCTTGAAGCGTAGTTCGAAGGCCTGGCCCACTGTGCTGATGACACTCTGCGCGAGGCCGCTGCAGCACTCCAGGATATGACAGGCTGAGGGCAGTGGTCATGGCGTCAGGGCTGGAGCTAGGCTCAGGTCGAATGTGGCCCCCAGCCCCCACCAACCCCCACAGCAGGCAGCTCACCTCTCTGATTGATGGGGTCTTTGGCGACATAGGCCACATAATCCGTCATGTCCTGGAGGAGAGCCGCCAGTAGGACCTGTTTCTATCGCCCCATCCAGACCCCTACCCTGACTCCACCACGAAGTGTGGGGCCAGCGTCTGGGGGAAGGGGCATCACAGACTTACCGTGTCACCGCCAGACGCGAAGGAGATGGACTGCATATGGTGGTTGGCGATGGTCTGCGCAGAGAAAGAGACGCTTAGTCACGGGCCTGGGGCACCGTTCTGTGGGCACATGCACAGTGGGCCAAGGGCCAGGGCAGGCAGGAATGGGGACTGCCTTGGGCCGGGATTCCCCAGGATGGCTCAGGGACAAGGCCTAGTAGGGCGCCAGCCCCACGGAAAGTCACAACACAGAGAAGAGATACAGCCCTGAAGCAGACACCTCTCAAGGGGACACATCAACAACCAGAGACACGCAGTCACAGGCATGCACACGTGGGCAGTCAGCATCACAGACAGCACAGAGCGCACACTTAACACCGCACACATTCTCATTTGCATTGTTGTTTGCACGGCCCGGCCCCTCCTCCTCAAGTCCAGGGGTTTCCTCCCCTCACCCCAAGGAGTGGTCAAGGCAGGCCAAGAGATGCACCAGGAGCCTCTGCCCGTGTTTCCAATGAACGTCTACATCTCTGTCCCTCAGAGGCGGCCAGCCAGCAATAAGGACTCAGCTGCCCCCCTGTGAGCCGTCCACCAACCACAGGTTCCTGCCTGGCAGACAGGTGGAAGGAGGGGCGAGGCCTGTAGGAGGCAGGGCCAGTGAGAGGCCTCTGGAAGGGGCGGAGTCTGATGGAGGGTAGGGCGTGGTTGGGGAAAAGCTGCCCTTTTTGTGGGCAGGGTGGAGACCTGAAGGAGGTGGGAGGCGCCAGTCAGAGGTAGGGTTGGGGGGCTGAAGGAGGGGCGTGGCCTGGATGAGCAGAACTGGGGCAGGGTTAGGGTGGAGGGGGCCTGATTGGAGGAGTGGTCTGAAGAAGAGTGGGGACCAGAATGAGGGGCAGGACCTGAAGACGAAGGATGGGGACTGGTTGAGGCAGGGCCGGATAGAGGGGCGAGGCCTGATGACAGGCAGGGTGGGATTTGGTTAGAAGGGTCCTGATGGTGAGCAGTGCTTTGAGGGTGGGGTCTGTGTGTGGCCTGACCTGTTTGGGGGAGGGGACTGAAGAATGGGCAAGACCTGAGTTAGGGGTGAGGCCAGAAAGGCAGAACATGATGAGGCAGGGCCTGAGTGAGGGTAGGGTGAGGTTGGTGAGAGTATGAAGGAGTAGAGGGTGGTTGGAGTGAAAGGGGCGTGGCCTGATAAGTGGGTGGGTGTGGCTTGGGAGGGACTTATTATGAAGAGCAGGACCTGATGCAGGGTGGGGCGTGGCTGGGGAGGAGCCTGTGAAAGGGGCAGGGTCTGAAGGAGTAGGGCATGGTTACGGAGGGGAAGGGGGCAGGGCCTGATACATGGGTGGGTGTAGCTTGGGAGGAGCCTATTATTTGTGAGGGGGACCTTTTTATGGGGGCGAATGGTTGGGGAGGAGCCTGTGGAATGGGCGTAGCCTGTGCAGGGTGGGGCGTGGTTGGGGAGGAGCCTGTTGAAGGGGCGGGGTCTGGTGAAGGGTGGGGCGTGGTTGGGGAGGAGCCTATGGAAGGGGCAGGGCCTGAGGATAGGGCCTAGTTGGGAAAAGGCTGCCCTTTTGTGGGCGTGTCCTTGAAGAAGAGTTGGTTTTTTGAAGGGCGGGGCCTGGGAGCAGCCTTACCTGTCTCGTGGCTGGTACTGAAAGATTGAGGCCATCAATGGAGATGTTGACCGCAATGCTCATGCCAGCAAAGCGCAGGTTGCTTTTGCCCAGAATGGAGGCCAATGCCTTGTTGGGGGCCTGGGAGTCAGAAGACAGCACCCATCGGCCTGAGCTCTGGCGAGGGGTCACCGTGGGATTCCCTGCTGGTTCCCTGGTGTCCTTCCTTGCTTCCTTTCCGTCCACCAACCACACCAGGGCCCCAGACCTCACCCACCTTCTTTTTCCAGGAGCCCCGAACACCCGGCACAGCTTCGTGCAGCCTGTTGATGGCTTCCCTGTGCCAAAGAGGGAGCAAAGGTCAGAGAGGAAGCAGAGGTAAGAGAAAGTGAGCAGGGGTCAGAGAGCATGGGCAAGGGTCAGAAAGCACGGGCAGGGTCAGAACGCACTGGCAGGATTCAGTAAGGGCAAGGGTCCTAGAGTATGAGGCACAGGCTTAGAGGTGGCGGCTCTGTGCAGAGGGAAACTTAGGATGAGGGGGGTCGGAAATGGGAAGGGAGGGAATGGCAGGGAGGGGGTGACAGAGCAGAGAAGGATGAAGGACAGAGGGAGATGGGGTGAAGAAGGGGCACTGGTGTACTAGGAGAAGCTACGAGTCCCCTGAGGCTGAAGCCTTGATCCTTGTTTTAGGAACTGTCTGGGGACTACGACTCAGCGACCCTAGGAACAGATCTGAACTGGTGCCGTCCTTGTCATCTCTAATACACCTCAGACTCACTGTTGCAGTCACTCTGTCAACCCACCTCGTCAGGGTCCTCTCTCTCTCTGACCTTCACCTTCCGAAGCAGCATGTCTTTTTCCAAGGGCACGCCCCTCCTGACAATATGCCCAAAGTCTGTGTAATAAATTTTACCATCTTTGCCTCTAGGGAGCACCCTGTTTCCACTTCCTCCAAAATCGCTGGTCCCTTCTTTTGGCAGTCAGTGGGACATTCAGTACTCGCGAACACTCAATCTAAAAGGCATTGATTCGTCTCCCATCTTCCTTATTCACTGTCCACATGAAAGTGACATGCTTGCCTTCAGTCCTTTAAAGAGGTCCTTGACTGCAGATCTGAAACACGTCTCCCACTTTCATGCTGCTCCCTTGGTTAATTGTAGATCTGAGTGAATGGAGACGCTGACGTCTCTCTAATTCTCCACCTATCGCAGTGCTATTGGTCCAGTGGTGAGGGCTTTGTTTTCTTAGTGTTAAGATGTGACCTATATTGAAGGTTACCGTATTTAATTTTCTTCAGTAAGTGCTACTTCTTCACTTTCTACAAAGTTGTGTCATCTGCATGACACAGGTTGTGAACAAGTCTTCCTGCAGTCCTAATGCCACGTTCTTCTCTCTCCCCATACCCAGGCCCTCAATCCCTGTAAAATGTGACTTGTTTACAAAATCTTTACAGTTCTAACTTATTAAGCTAAAAGGCTGTCACACTGAAGCAAAGGGGTCCTAATCCAATATAAAGCCAGTCCCAGTTTGTTTGGTTTTTTTATTTTTATTTTATTTCATTATTTTTGTGTGTACCATCAAATCAGATCTGACTGATACAGGAGGAGATTGTTCCTCCTTCTCCAGCAGAGCATCTGGTGGATTCGAACCGTGTACTTCTGAGATTGCAGTACAGCTTCTTGCCACTAGGCCACCAGAGCTCACTAAGCCAGTCCCAGTTGACTTAATCCCTGCTTGTGGTCACCAGCATGTCCAGCCAGAGTGGGGTTCCTGTGATCTCTAATGCAAATGTGTGGGGAAGAGGTCACCAGGCCATTCCTCTGGGTGAACTCAAACCCCAAACTTCTCAGGAAGCAGGTGGTCTCATGAGCCTGCACCACCAGGGACCACCCGTGTGGTTATTAGGACATGTACAGAGCTGATGCTCTGAGACACCCGGTGGACAATATAGCAAACCCTGCCATGCCCTGTGCCCTCCTGACACCACTACTGCCAGGCTCCAGCCCATCGTCCCCGTCGCCATGGCATCAGGGCCACTTAGGCTCCTCCTCTTCTTCACTGGCCTCCACTTTACTAAGTGTCATGCCCTGTTCCAGAGCCTAACCCTCCTGACAACATCCCAGCATATGTGAGATGCTGCTGCCTCGCCCTGGTTCCCTCCTCCCAAAACAGACTGGTTTGTTCTTCGGCACCCATGGGACATTCAGAAGTCTTCACCAACATCACAGTCCACAGGCATCAATTCTCATTGAGGCATCTTCTTATTCATTGTTCAGTGTTTACATGCACACCTTTTTGTTATATGCCATCAAGTTTACTATGACTTACAGCGACTTTACAAATGGCTCTGGACTTTGCCCTATTCTGAGCCAATCTCACCATCTCTGACACACCTGACCCCATTCACCTGACCATGGACACAGTCCCTGTGTCAATCTATCTCATCCAGGGTCTTCCTCTCCTGTGCTAACCCTCTACCCTGCCAAGCATGATGTCCTTCTCCAAAGACTGGTCCCTCCTGTCCACGAGCCCACAGTATATGAGACGGAGCTTCAAAATCCTCGCCTCCAAGGAGCAAACTGTTTTCACCCTCTCCAGGACAAACCTGTTTGTTCTCTTGGTGGTCCATAATATGTTTCATAGTCTTTTCCAACACTACAACTCACAGGCATCAATTCTTCTGTCATTCTTGATCACTATCCAGCTCTCTGATGCAGAGCAAGTAATTGCAAAGATCATAGTGTGAATCAGGCACACCTTAGTCTCCAGACTGATATTGTTGCTCTTTAGCACTCCACAGAGGTCTCTGACAGCAGACTTTCCTAAAGCACCTCATCTTTTGATTTCCTGCCTGCTGGTGCCAATAGTGTTAACTGTGGATCCAAACAAGATTAAATTGTTAACAACCTCAATCTTTTCTCCATCTGTCGTGATGCTGAAAACTGGCCCAGTGGTGAGAATCTTTGTTTTCTTCATGATGTAATCCATGTTGCACACCATAGTCCTTGACCTTTTTCAGCAAGTTCTTCAAATCCTTCTCAGTTTCAGCAAAATTGTGCCATCTGCATAACATAGGTTATTAATAAGTCTTCCTCCAATCCTGACACTATATTCTTCTTCATAAAGTCCAGCCTCCCGAATGGTCTGTTCTGTATAGATATTTAAAGGTACTGCAAAAGGACACATCCCTGACACACTTTTTTCTTTATTTTCAACCATGCAGTGTGCCCTTGCTCTGTTCAGATAACAGCTCCCTGGTCTGAGTATAGATTTCACATGAGCACAGTCAAGTGTTCTGGGATTCCCATTCTTCTCAATGTTAGCCACTATTTGTTATGATCCACACAGTCAATTGCCTTTGCATAGTCAATAAAATACAAATAGACATCTTCTCATACTCTGTTTTCAGCCAAAATCCATCTGACATTGGCAAAGACATACCTAGTGTCACAGCCCCCTCTAAACCCAGCCCGTATTTCTGGTAGTTCTCTATGTGCTGTCCTAAGAGTTTTTTATTATCTTCAGCAAGATTTTGTTTGCATGTGATACTAACGATATTGTTCAATAATGTCCACACACTGTTAGAGCACCTTTTTAGGGAATGGGAATAAACATGGATCTCTTCCAGTCAGTTTGCCAGGTATCTGTCCTCCATATTTCTTGGTACAACCTAGGAAGCACATCCAGGGCTGCATCTGTTTGTTGAGATATGTCAATTGGTATTCCTTCAGTTCCTGGGGACTTATTTTTTGCCAAGACCTTCAGAGAAGCTGAACTTCCTCCTTTTTTACCATTTGTTCTTCATCATATGCTACTTCCTGAAATGGTTCCGTATCAGCCAATTATTTTTGGTACAGTGACTGTGTATTCCTTCCATCTTCTTTTGATGCTTCTTGGTTTATTCTGCCCATAGCGTCTTTAAGAATTGCAATTTGAGGCTTGAATTTGTTCTTCAGTTCCTTTAGCTTAAGAAATGTTAATCACGTTTTCTCCTTTTGATTTTCTGATTCCAGAGCCCTGCACATTTTGTCATAATATTTGCTTTGTCCTCCTGCACTGCCCTTTAAAATTTTCTTTAACTTTCTGATCTCTTCCTTTGCTTTGGCTTCTGGGTGCTCTAGTGCAATATATAGAGTCTCTTCTGACATCCATCTCAGTCTTTTCTTCCTCCTCTGTCTTGATACCTACTTTCTGCTTTCTTCATGGATGATTTTCTTGATATCAGAAAACAACATGGTGAGGGGAGCTCTGGTGGCCTAGTGGCAAGAAGCTGCAACTACAATCCCAGAGGTGCACGGTTCGAATCCACCAGAGGCTCTGCCGGGTAAGGAGGGGCAATCTCCTCCTATACCAGTCAGATCTGATTTGACAGTACACGCACACAAAAATTATAAAATAAAATAAAAAAAAGGGAAAAAAAAGAAAACAACATGGTTTGGGTCAGGCACACCTTAGTCTTTACAGTGGCACCTTGCTCGTCAGCACTTTAAAGAGAGCCTTGTCGGCATATGTGCCCCATGCAATACACAGTGTGGCTTCCTGACTGCGGCTTCTGTGGGTGCTGGTTGTGGATACTTAAGCCCTTTATCTGGAAGACCTGGAGCCATTCTTACTGCTTCTCAGCTTCCACCAAAGTGAGAAAGATTGCCCAAATTCTGTCTGCCCCCTAGTGGCAGCCTAGGGGGCGTAGAAGTGACCCAACAGAAGGGGATGAGGGCAAGAGGCTCGCTAAGTCCCTGAAAGGAGTATTAAACACTGCATTTACACAAGCAATACCACTTGAAAGGCACACACCACCGCTTCCTGAGCAGTTGCCTTTGTGAGGCTGAGTTTAAAACATTTGCATTAAAGCTGAACAGTCATCGTTCCACTTGGTACGCTGCCACCATCTGAATCACATGAACACAGGAGTCTAGAATCTAGACTGTTCCCTGTGGCTTTAAAGTCCATTGTGTCCATCCTGGAAGCTGCATCGAGTTCTCCATGATGCAACCAGTGGTGATGGGATTTAGTAAGAAAATTTTTTTTCATAGACAATTACAGTTTAATAACTGACAAAATAGTGACTACGCTCTCAGTCTCTTAAAAAAAGGGAAAATCCTTCCTAACTTCAATCTGTCTGCCTCCTGGTGCAGGTGTCTGGTTTTCTGAACGGGGAGGCATGATGAATCTGGAGGGCTGCAGCCTTCATCTTCGTCAGTAAAGTGCATCATATCTTTGTATTCAGCAAGCAAAGTGTGTCATCTGCCTATCCAGGGTTAATGAGCTTTCCTCCATCCTGATGCTGCATTCTTCCTCAGATTCTCAGATCATTTGCTCAGCATGGAGACTGAGTAAGTCTGGGCGGAGCAACACAGCCCTGATGCACAGGATTACCCTATGGCCCATGAATCGCACGACTGGGTACATCTTAAGGGAAACGTGTACATACACTGTGCTCATGCGTTCACAGCTGCACAGCTCATGGCAGATTCCTGGACACAGAACGCAGTGACTGTGTCCAAACAGTGGACTATCTCTCGGTCATAAAAGAGGCAATAGTGTAGAGACACTGACGCCGATACGTGGTACACGTGCCTTGCTGAGCAAGGCAGCCAGGCACCATCACTGCATGGTGCCTGGTGCCATTTCTATGAAACACCCAGAACTGACATCCTACCTGCCAGAAGGGGAAAGTGGCTGTCCAGGGCGGAGGGAGAGGGGCAGAGTGACAGGCAGTGGGCATAGGGTCTCTCTGGGATAACAAGAATGTCTGGAGCCACCAACAGAAGTAGAGCTGGTACAACAAACACATTTAAATGACTGACTTGTAAGGCATGTGAATCTCAATGGAGCAGCTTTTAATAAATCCATAATGAATATTCAATCTCTATGCTGAGCAAGTAATCCCAGAAGACAAGTTATATGAAGACAAATGTGGCACCAGGATTGGAGGAAGACTCATCAACAGTCTTCAATATGCAGATGACATGCCCTGCTTGCAGAAAGTCAACAGGACTTGACACATTTCCTGGAGAAGATCAAAGATCAGTATGGATTACGTCTTAACAAAAGAAACAAATATTCACAACTGGAACAACAGGCAACATCCCGATGACTTCACTAAAATAGTGAAGTTGTCAGTGACTTCAGTTTACTTGGACCCACTGTCAGCACACATGGAAGCTGCAGTCAAGAAATCAGAAGAGGTTTTGCACTCAGAAACTCTGCAGTCAGGGACCCCTTCAAAGTGCCAAAGAGCAAGGACATCAGTTGAAAGACTAAGGTGGGTCATGATATTTTCAATAATTTCATATGATATGCAAACTGGACAATGAATAAGGAAGACCGAAGAAGAACTAATGAATTTAAATTGTGATGATGGCGAACAATTTTATTCTATTCTCCACAGATAGCAAGAAAACCAAACAAATGTGTCTTGGAGCAGGTGCAGCCCGAGTCCTCGTGAGAGGCAAGGATGGTGAGATTTCATTCCACATATGTGGCTGTGCTGTCAGGAGGGTCCAGTCCCTGAGAAAGAATATCAAGCTTGAAATCATGGGGAGTCAGTGAAGGACAGGAAGACCTCAATAAGATTGACCGACAGTCACCACATCAGTGGACTGAGCTCGGCAGGGGATGCCAGGATCCAGGGTTAGCAGGGCTTCCCTGCTGTTGCTCAGGGTCCCTATGAGGTGAAGCAGACCTGAGGGCCCCTTACAGCAACAACAAAGATAAAAAAATCATGTCGCTCCATGGAGCAGTCCAGTCCCTTCCTCTGAGCCCTGGCTGTCCACAGCTGTATGACCCGGTCCAGGCAGCTCAGAACACCAGGAGGCAATGACCTCTCTCCAGCTGGAGACAAAACAGGAACAAGGGGGATGCCCCTTGTTCTGCTGGGGTTCCTGCCCTAAGCTGAGCCCAAAAAGCCCCCAGAGCCTGGTACACAGCAGGGACTGTGCACAATGGAACTTGCTGTCCATCCTTCAAGAGCCAGGCTGGTAGCCCCATCGGTGGGCAGAGCTGAGCTGGGACTTAAACACCACGCTAGCCTTGCGTCCATCCTGACCTGGGCGGCACACTCCACAATCCAAGAAGAGGCATCCCTGACTTAGTCAAGGATGGCCTCAGAGTGTACAGCTGGAGGTTCAGGGCCCACCTCCACCAGCAGTGTTCCCGGGACGACGCTGTGGAACTCACCTTGTGACCTGGGTGCGAGTGTTAAAGTCCAGGGAGCGCATGGAGCGGAGGACCTCGATGCAGCCCATGTACTAGGAAGGAGAGAATCAGCATTAGAAGAGAGAGAATCATGTTCACAGCCTGCTGCTCACCTCCCCACTGGCCCTGGGCTCCTGGCCCTCTCTGCCCCTGACAGCGTCCAGCCCTGCTGCCTCAGGACCTTAGCACATGCTTCTGGCCCTCACTCCTGCCATTTCCTTTTTTTTTTTTTTAATTATTTTTTGGTGTGTACCATCAAATCAGATCTGACTGGTACAGGAGGACATTGTCCCTCCTTCTCCAGCAAAGCATCTGGTGGATTTGAACCGTGCATCTCTGGGATTGCAGAGCAGCTTCCTTCCACTAGGCCACCAGACGTGCCACTCCTGCCATTTCTAAGGTGGGCTCCTTCTGTAACTTCAGGGCACATGTTCCGTGGCACTCACTCAGTCCTGAGGTTTTCTGCTTCCCAGAAGCCTCCCTACTCTGCCCAAGACCCGATGGCATCTGCTTCCAGTGTGCTGAATGCGTCCTCCTGTGAAGCATGAACCCTGAGGCAGACAGAAGGAGCTGCGCCTGGCTGGACTCCAGCACTGACACAGGGTGACACAGCGTCTGATGTGCTGGCCAGGTGTCCATGAAAGGTTTGGACATTTTAAAAGCCTTTATCTAAGCCCGTGCTATTAAAACTGTAGCCACTGATCAGCTAGTGACATGTGAAAGCTGGACAATGACTAAGGATGGTGAAAGAATTGATGCCTTTGAATTTTGACTTAGAAGAGTACTGAACATCCCAAGGACCGTCAAAAGAACAAACAAGTCTTTCTGTCGGAGGAAGTGGAGCCAGGGGGATGCGCTTTAGAGTCAGGAACAGTGACACTCTGTCTCACACACTTTGGGCATGTGCTCAGGAGGGGCCAGGGCTTGGAACAGGCGTCATGCTGGGGAAGGTGAGCGTCAGAGGACCTGACACAATGACTGTGACCAATGAGCTGGACCATATCAGAGGTGGTGAGAATGGAGCAGGGCAGGGTTCAACTCTGTTGTTGTAGAGTCGCTATGAGTTGTACCCAACCTGATGGCACATAATAAAACAATGAACTTTCTTTTTCATTTTGTTCCGCCATGAACAACTCAAGTGCACTGACATCCAGACATGTCGCAGTTGTGCACAGTTTCTCACTCTCCTTTTCTGAAGTGTCCCCCCATCAGCACATACTCCCTGACCCCCCAGAGGTGTCCCCCCATCAGCACACACTCCCTGCCCCCTCAGAGGTGTCCCTTCACATCAGCACACACTCCCTGAACCCCCAAAGGTGTCCCTTCTCATCAGCACACACTCCCTGCCCCCTCAGAGGTGTCCCCCCATCAGCATACACTCCCTGCCCCCTCAGAGGTGTCCCCCCATCAGCACACACTCTACCCTCCAGAGGTGTCCCTTCCTATCAGCACACACTCTGCCCCCCAGAGGTGTCCCCCCATCAGCACACACTCCCTGACCCCCCAGAGGTGTCCCTCCCAATCAGCACACACTTCCTGTGTCCTAGCAGACCCCCCTGTGCCACATGTTCAGGCTAGATAATTTTTACTAGTTAAGCTAAGCTATAGAAGAGAACAAAGAATTTCTTTGAATCGCAAATTTCGTGAAGAAGCAAGAAGCTGCCATCTGAAATGCCTACAGTTCAAGTCCACCAACTACTCCTTGGGAGAAGGAGAGGAAATCTCCTCTCATGTCATTTACTGTCTCTGAAAACCTGCTAGAGGGTCAGCTATGAATCTGTCCCAACTTCTTGTCACACAACAACAAAAACAACCACAAACAGCCAGAAGAATCCATCCTGGAGCCAGTGAAGCCAGAGTGCTCCTTGGAAACAAGAATGATGAGACCTTATCTCATACACTTTGTGGACATGTCCTTGAAAAATGATACCAAGCTTGGGAAAGTAGAGCTGGTGGAAAAGAGGGAGATCTACAACCGATGAATTGACACAGTAGGCGCCACCGCGGGTTTCAGGACAGCAGGCTGTGAGTGGCTCAACACCTCCCAGCACTGCAGGCTGTGAGGACGGCACAGGACCGCTGAATGGTGGGTCAACACCTAACAACATAATTTGGTTTGTTTGGTTTTGGTGCGTTTTATTTTTTAGGGAGACAGACGGCCTTTATTGCTTGTCTGGACAGATGCCCAGAGCGGGCAGGGTAAGAGGGCTGGGTGCTTGTCTGGGACAATAAAGGTGCCCTCAGCGGACGTGAGCCATGTCGCCAAGGAACGGTGCTTCATGCAGCCAGTGCAGAGCTGGTCCGTCCAGAGCAGGGCCGCGTGCTGCAGCGTCGTGGGTAGAAGGTGAAGTCCACACGGTAGTTGAGCAGTTGGCTGAGCGAGGCCATGTAGAGGTCAGAGAAGCGCATGACGCACCGGGAGAAGTAGGTGGAGTTGTGGAAGGTGCGGAAGATGCTTCCCAACTGAGGGTTGAACAGCGCCTTGGGGATGCACCTCAGCTCCTGCCGCTCCTTCATCCAGGCTGCCAGCATCTGCACCCTGGTGGGTCTGCATGCCCCGTGAGCGCCTGCTGCCAAGTCAGCGAGTGCATACACTGTTCCGTGTTGATAATGCGCATGTCCCGCTCCAGCTCGGGGATGATGCGCCAGCCGCTGCATGAGGTCCTCCAGGACCCGGGGGTCCGCAACCCAGACAGGACGAGGACAAGGTGGCTCGGGGCACATCGTGGCCTCAGCACAGCCCCAAGGCCCTCGCCCGCCATGCCCGCTGCACACCACTCGCGCTGCCCTTGGCCTGTCAGCCAGTCCGCAGCCCTCCGACTGAGTCAACAACATAGTTTTAAGAAAACTTTAGATTAGGGGCTATTTCTGGTACTTTTTAGAGACTGCCTCAGGTCAATGGTTTCAGAAATTCATCTAGCCCCCATGGCTCCAAAAATTTTCAATTCTGTTCCACATTTCCCCCTTTTGATCAGGACTCTTCTACAGAATCATGTCAATCACTTCTGGTCTCATGAAAGGAAGCAACTAATAGGGGCAATTAGCTTCACCTGCGTAGCTGCCTCTTCCTGTCTCTCCTGTGGGTCCCTGCGAGCAGAGGCCAGCTGGTATGCCTGGGATGCTGCTGACGCTCCAAGATCCTACGTGGCGTGGTTAATATTGTGTGGCAACATGGGCACAGCCCTAGCACAATGTGACTGTTTTGTGCGGTAAACATTCTAACCTGCACCACACTAATAGGGCCAGAATACAAGCGTATCTGTAAATGCAGGGTCAGCCTTATCTGGTAATGGACAAGTTTCCTCAGGGTGTGGCCTACATGGGTCTTCACATCATAACTCTCAGGGGGAAAAGCTAGATGGCTTGGTGTCCACTCGACATCTGGCTATCTGACCTGTGGTCTCCACTCCTGAACCAGCGGCTGCAGAACTTTCTGACCTTGGACTCGTCAGTATCCACAGCTGGCTATCTGCAGCCTTGCCTCCCGAGAAGGGGGCACCCAAGAAGGCAGCAGTCTCCAAGGTCAACAGCCTGAGACCCTGCCACTGACCACCTGGACTGCACTCGCCCACAGGCCTCTCATGAGGCCTGACCTACAGGCCAGGGACTTGTCCACAAGCACAAGCGGACTCCTCGCCATCAGTCAGCATCTGTCTCTGCCTCTGTCTTCTCCCTTCCACTGGCTGTCTCCTGTCTCCCCAGTCTCTTCCATGCAGCTCTCTCAGCACCTCTCCTCACTCACTGTCCCTGTCTTTGTCTTCCCCTCACTCTCTCACCACCCCTCATCTGTGTTTCTCTCCCCCCTTTTTCCTCCTCTCTCCCCTTTCCCCACCCCTATCTGTCACTCCTCTCTTTCTCTGTGTCTCTCAGTCCCTCAATCTCTCTCTGCCCTCTGCCTCTGTCTCTCCTTCTCTCTCCTATCTCCCTCTTTCTGTCTTTCTTCTTCTGCCTCTCCTCTCTCTGTCCTTCTGTCTCTGCACACACATACACAGACACTTTACCTGGTCTAGAGAACACAGCTCAAAGCACCAGCTAATCAACTGCAATTCATATTGCATGAAGCACTAAAAACCTTTTTTAGGCCAATAAACAAAACTTTCATTGAAACCATAATCCTAAACCATCAAACCAAGAGGCCATGAGGAGCTCAGCTTAGTTCCTAAACATGCCTGTCACACGGCTTCTGCCAGGTGGACTTTCCACAAGTCAGCAGGGTACTGACAAAATGCAGCCTTCTCCGCCATCAGGACATTTTCCACTCCTCCCCATGCTCTTGTCTTGTGACGTGAGGTCAGGAAAGATCTGTCCTTTAGAGACCGATGCCCTTCATCCAGCACAAGGCCTTCAAGTTCATGCTACTCTCTCCCCCACTACCCCTTCCTTTTTCTCCTCCCCCTCCCTCTCTCCAGCTTTCTCCCCCCTTCCCCCTCCCCCTCCCTCTGTCCTTCCCTCCCTCTCTCTACTTCCCCTCCTGCTCCTTCCCTGTCTCATGTGCTGGTTGAGTATATTCCATCATATGCATGTGCCCTTTTTTATTATCCATTCATCTGTTGGCAGACACTTAGGTAAATATAAACTTTAATTAAAATGCAATAAAATGTAAAATTTCTTCAGGTAAATGCAAAACTATAGAGACAGTGCAAAAACTAGTGGTGGTTGGAGGCTGTACGTTGGGATGGATGGGGCGCTGGGGCATTCTTAGGAGAGTGGAAGTACACTAATGCTTCACGGGGGACAAGTGACATTAAGCATTTGTCAGGATACACAGGACTGGGGGACTTCAAGCATGGATCCTGAGGAGAACTGCAAGGTTTGGTTAATAAATGTGGGGATACTGGCTTGGCTTGCCACTAGTGGAGGTCTTACAGGAAAGGCAGAGGTAGTAACGAGAGAAGGCTGTGGGGCAGAAGCAGGGACGGGCCATGCTAGCACTTTCTGCACAATTTTTCTGTAAACAAGTCTGTCTTGGAAAAAGTCCAGCCAGAATGCTCCTTAGAAGCAAGGATGCAAGACTTCAGCTCAGATAATTGGGGAATGTTATCAGGAGGGCTCAGCACCATCATGGTCAATAAAAACAGAAGGTCAGAGAGAAAGGAATTCACGTGGGGCCTGCAGCACAGACCAAGGCACCAGACACCATGAGGATGGCACAGGACGTGTCCCATCATGCTGTAAATCACTTCTATTGGGAGGACATGGAACAAGTTGGCTCTGGAAGGGAGTCTATTCCACATATGGAAAGCTTGTTGGGGATTTCACTTCACTTAGATTTCCCAGCTAACACCCGAAGAAGCCGAAGACAAAAATCAAGTCACTGTCAAAGGCCTCTGCTAAGTGCTCAGAGCAAGGAAGTCACCTTAACGACTGAGGTGCACCTGCCCCAAGCCATGTTATCTTCAATTGCTTCCTAAGCATGTCTGCTTGTACTAAGGAGCAGTGATGTCTGTTTGAGGGCTAAGGTGTTCCTGATTCAGAACATGGTCTTTCCAACACTTGCTATGCATCTGAATGCTGGACAGTGGATATGAATGACAGAAGAATTAATGCCTTTGAGCTGTGGTCTTGAAGAAGAGCACTGAATATTCCATGATGGCCAAAAGAACAGATATGTCTTACAGAGGGTGCAGCCGGAGTGCTCCTTGGAGAAAAAGGCAGCAAAGCTTTGTCTCTCATACTTCAGGCATGTTGCTAGGAGAGGCAAGAAAAGGGAAGATCGTGCTGGAAAGGTAGAGCGTCAGTGAAGGTGGGGGAGACCTTCAATGAGAGGTGACTGCCGCATTGGGCTCTAGTGTGTCAGGAAGTGTGAGGATGGTGTAGTATAGAACAGGGTTCAGATCCATGCTTCACAGGGTCGCTAGGTGTCGTGCTTGACAGCACCTAACTACAACACGTACATGTGAAAGATGGACGATAATACTCAAGAAATACTGATGCCTTTGAATTTAGCAAAGAATATTAAGCGACCACTGACTGCTAGACAAAGGGACAAACCTGAGTTGAAAGATGTGCAGCAAGAATGGTCCTCAGAAGCAAGTGACTGCCTTCCTTTCTCACCTTTGGCTCCCGCACGCACAGTCTCTCCATCTCTGTCTCCTTTGCTCTCACTGTGTGTGTGTGTGTGTGACTATTTCTCTCTCTAGTTCCCACACTCTCTCTGTCTCTGTCTTTCTCTCTGTCTCTTTCTGTCTCTCACTGTCTGTGTCCATCTGTCTGTGTGTGTCTCTGTTTCTCCCTCACTGTCTCTACCTGTGTCTGTTTCTCTTTCGCTGTCTCTGTCTGTGTGTGTGTGTCTCTCTCTCACTGTCTCTGTCTCTGTGGGTCTGTCTATTTCTCTCCCTGTCTCTAGCTCTAGTGTGCCCTCTTGCTTTCTACCTCTGTCTCTCTCCCACAGAGGGGGGACGGGGCAGTCAAGGATGTCATGCTTGGTAAAATGACATTCATGAAAGAACAGGAAGGCCTTCCAGGAGAGGGACCAGCACAGGGCTGCAACAGTGGCAGCTGAGATCGTCAAGGACAGTGCAGGCTGACAGAGCAGGCCAGGGTGGCCAGGAGTGGCCCCTGGCTGGATGATACCCAACAACAAGAAGACAGTTCAGGGACAGTCAGAGACATATTTATCACAACAGAAACAAAGACTCTTAGAAATATATATTTAATTCCACTCCTCAGTCACATCTGCCATGGCCACACACTCGACGGCCACTTGTGGCTGGGCATGGCTGCAGCTCAGCACAGAGGGCAGGTCACTGCACAGAGCTCATCACGGTCAGCAAACTCTGGCCTTGCCACCGTTTTCTTCTATTACAGTTTTATTGGAACATGGCCTTGTCCATTCGTCAGCCTATCCCTGCCTTTCCTTAGACGGACTCCAGTTCTCAGGACACAGACACGTGGCCAAATCACCAAAAACACTGACTCCCTGACTCTTTACAGGAAAAGTTGTGGGGTCCTGGACATCCAGTGACAGTGTGAGAAGTGTTCAGCCTGAGCCGACACAACGGCCTCTGGCAACCGTCCTCACCTTCTCAGAGGCAGGTGCGTGGGAAAGCTAAGGTTAGGCGTCCACAAGAGTGTCACGGGGTAGGGGAATGACCACGCAAGCTGCTAACTGAATGGTCGGCAGTTCTAGTCCCGGCGAGGAGTGCTGAAAGGCAGGCGCATGAACTGTCAGGTGCTGTGGGCCTACTTCCAAAAGCTGACCGCTGTGGCGCACATCTGTCCTTGGCCTCGATGACCGCGCATGGACTCACGCGATTCTAAGGAGCAGCGTGCTGTCAAAAGGTTCAAAGGACCCGGAAGAACTGGTTCACCAACCCAAGAACCAGAATCGGGGAAAGGGGGCCTGGACAGAGATGACAAGGCCAATGAACACCGGTAAATCAACAAAGGCCTCCTCTACACCTCATTGCAAGTCGCTCAGGGCCGCGCACGCCGGCCCCTTCCCCACATCTCACTGTCTCCACGCCTACGCTGCCCAGTGTGTCACCTGCGATGTGGCCCCAGGCGGGGAGGTGGCAGGGTCCCCTCGGGCCTCAGTCCAAGGCGCGCCGGCCCAACTCTGCGCGTGCGCGTCCCCCTCCCACCTGCTCTCTCCCCGCCCCTCCCCACGTGACGTCGTGGGAACCTGGACCCCAGCGCCTCCCCAGTGGAGATGGGGTTGGGGTGGTGGGGAGAGAGGGAAGATGCCGCGGGGAGCCTGGCTCTTGGGGTCCCAGAGATGCCAAAGGAAGGGAGGGGGAGTCCCGGCCCCCGAGGCCCAGGGAGGCTGCGGGTCGCTGTCCGGCGGCGCACTCACCCTCACGATGTAGGAGACCCCGGGCCCCAGGACCCGGGAGTCGGGGTGCAGCCAGCCGTGCGCCGGCTTGTGGAGGAAGCTCCCTT